CCACTCCATGTTCTTGCCCCGAGGAAAGGCCATGTGAAAGCACGGCAAGGAGGTGGCCGGCTGTCTGCAGGCCAGGAAGAGCCCTCACCAGAACCCGACTCTGCTCACGCCCAGCCTCAGAAAGTGTGAGAAAACAAGTTTGTGTTTTTAAGCCACCAGCCTGCGGCACCTCGTTGCAGCCTGGGCAGTCCAAGGCAGACAGGAAGGAAGAATGGAGCAAACCAGCCGGAAGGATGGGGCTGCGGTCAGAGAAGGGGGTGTCTGAATTAGAGGCGCCTTCATTTACTGACTTCTACGCTAGGAATTGTTGAGATTTTGGTGGTGGGCGTGTAGTTTTGCAGGATGACAGCAGGAGCCTGGGTGGAAGGGACGGTGGTGAAGCAGGTGGTTTTCGGTGAGTGAGGGAAAGCGAGGTTGAGAGCACAGGGGGCGCGGGCCAATGGGGCACCGATCAGCTGTTCGCCTCTTCCTCCCTCCAGTTCCACCGTTATCACCCCATTTAATCATCAGGTCAGGTGAGGCAGTAATGTTTGCCATGGATTTCGTTGTCGTAACGACGCCCTGCCTTGTTTCTCTGCTCCTGCTTTTGCCCTGTTCCAACCCAGGCTTCCAGATACAGCGTGAGTTTTATCATACCGATCTTGCGGGGCCACCCCCCTTGCTTGGAGAGAAAAGGACAACCAGTATCTTTCATTGTTCTCAGAACAAAGTTCAAAATTAAACACGTGGCCCGATCTCTGCTGTCAGCACGGAGCCCACTTTGGATCCTCTGTCTCCCTCTCTCTGCCCCTTCCTGGCTCATTCTCTGTCTCTCAAAAACAAATAAAATATTAAAAAAAAATGTGGCCCGAGTGCAGCTTCTCAAACTTCCAGAACTCGTTCCGTCTTCACCCCAAAGTGCTTCTGCACCCCCCTGGCTGCCTGTGCCTCCTCTGGCCTGCACTTCCTTCTCTCCATGGATGACCATCCTTAGGGGGCCTTCCACACCCTGCATGCTGGGTCAGCTGCCCGGTTTAACCCCACGGGGACCTCCAGATTCATCCAGATTCATCCAGAGCATTCCCCTGAGGCGCTGGGGAGCGGTTTCATGGCTGCAGATGAATTGTGCACCTGTGGGTCCAGCATGCTCCCGAAGGCAGAGCAGTAGGTGAGCGGGTCAGTGAGTGAGGCGAGCCCGGGGTGCGTGAGTCAGGCCCAGGCTCCAGGACTCATCCCTGAGACCTAGGGGTGTGGGGGAGGGGGGAGGGGAAGGGGGGTGGGGAAGGGGTTGGCACTCCTTTTCTATCTCCTTGGACTTGGGGGCCCACTGCCAGAGACCTTTGTCTTTCACACCCAAGATTAGAATCCTTGAGGATTCAACCATCCACTTGAAAATGGGGAGCCTAAGTACCAGGCTCCCATCACCAAGGCCTGAGAGCTGAGCCCTGTGCCCCAGCTGACCGTCAAGGCTGCACTGCTAGGGTGTCTCCCCAGTCTGGGCTTTTCTCTGATCAACACAGTCTATGGAGAACCACCACGGTCCAGCCTGTGCTGGAAACTTCCCGGTATCATCAATCCCCCTTTCTGTCAAGCTTCTCAGGGTAGAGTCAAGACCAGGTCCTCTGAGGTCCTAGGGACTCAGCAGCTGAGCTCCTGTCAGCAACTGCTAAAAGACATTTCCCTTTTTTTTCTTAATTTTTATTTAATTTATTTTTTAAATTTACATCCAGGTTAGTTAGCATATAGCGCAACAATGATTTCAGGGATAGATTCCTTAATGCCCCTGACCCATTTAGCCCATCCCCACAACCCCCCACAACCCCTCTAGTAACCCTCTGTTTGTTCTCCATATTTAAGAGTCTCTTATGTTTTGTCCCCCTCCTTGTTTTTATATTATTTTTGCTTCCCTTCGCTTGTGTTCATCTGTTTTGTATCTTAAAGTTCTCATATGAGTGAAGTCATACGATATTTGTCTTTCTCTGATTGGCTAATTTCACTTAGCATAATACCCTCCAGTTCCATCCACATAGTTGCAAATGGCAAGATTTCATTCTTTTTGATTGCTGAGTAATACTCCATTGTGTGTGTGTATATATATA